GGACTGTGGCATTAAAAAAACTACATAATTCACAGAATATTTCTGATGAATTTCTTAATGAGGTAAATTATTTTATTCAGATTTTTAATTATTATTTGTTATAATTAAATATTTTATTTATTATTTTAGTTTAAGAATTATACGAAGCTTCATGGTAAAAAAGATATAATTCATATTTATGGATTAACACAAGATCCAATTACAAAAGACTATACATTTATATTAAGATATATGGAAGATGGAAGTCTTCAAAATTATTTAACTAAAGATTTTAAAAAATTACAATGGTATCATAAAATTGAAATTCTTTATAATATTATTGCCGGGTTAAAAAATATTCATAAAGAAGAAATTATTCATTGTGACCTTCATAGTGGTAATATTCTTCAATCTAAAGATTATGTGTTTTCATATATTACAGATTTAGGATTATCATGTCCAGCTAGTCAAACGTTTGCATCAAACAAAAATGATATATTTGGAGTACTACCATATGTTGCACCAGAAGTTTTAAGGGGGAAACCATATACAAAAGCATCAGATATATATAGTTTTGGAGTTCTGATGTCTGTATTGTCAACTGGTCAACAACCATTTAATAATTTGGCACATGATGCAGATCTTGCAGTAAAAATATGTGAAGGTGTAAGACCTGGATTTTCAAACAACACACCAAAATTTTATATTGAACTAGCATTCAAATGCATGGATGCTAATCTAGATAAACGTCCAACTGCTGAAGAAATTTTTAATATTATTGATGATTGGCGTATGTCATTTTATAAGTCAGGTGATAAATTATACAAAGAGTTTAAGAAAGTAGAAGAAATAAAGTTTGATCCTTCAACAATTACTGCAACAATTCATCCAAATGCTATATATACAAGCAGATTATTAAAATTTACAAACCTTCCCCAACCTGTGAATTCCAGTAAAGTGACAGTTATTGGTAATAATAATGGTAATTATTAACATTTAATCATTGATTGCTTTCGTTTTTTTAAAATCTATATTAATATTAATTTATTAACAACCACATTAAATATTTTTTTAGATTCTCAACAAATTGAATTAACTAAAATATAAAATCTTGTCATTGTTTATTTATTTCCAAATTATATATTCTACCACATGCACAATATTAATATTAATATAAATATGAATAAATATGGTCTGTTAGAAATTAGACATTCTATTTGTATTCTATTTATTTTAATTCATCTGTTGATATGGACAAAAGAAAAAAAGGTTTTATATAATGTTCAAGATTTTAATCTATTTATTTAATCTGTCTCAACTGTAAAATTATATTATTGATGAAGCTACAAATAGTCAATTATCAAATGTAAATTAATTGTGTCAATGTTGAAGAGCCAAAGCATGGAAATAAAAATTTTACTTCATAAATTAACCAAAATGATTACAAAATAAGGGAGTATCAGTCATAATCAATTTATCATAAAATCATGCTTGCCATCCAAAGGTTGTGTTATTATTATTACCATTTATTTATTTTTTCATAAAGTAACTGGTCATCTGATCAATCCGTGAATACTTTCTAGTACATTTCCATTTTACCAAAAAGAAATTTTACAGAATCATCCTGTAAAAGAGAATGCTTGTGTATCTTTTTACATTTTCTGTAAAAATTCTTATATTTATAGGAAATGTTGCAAGTATGCAAGCGGAATTACAATCTTTAATGACAATGGGTTGGATTCAGGGAAATTTCCAAATATTGCTGCGTGTTTATAAGTTTTACGCAAGTTGCGTCAATTAATTTCCGAATGCACAAATCATTTTCTGCATTGGAAAATGAAAAGAAATAAAAGAAATCAAATAACATAGTACTTAGATTTCAGGTGGTCGGACATTTTGCTAGGATTAAATTCAAAGGTTTGTTTTTTTTTTGTTTTATCCACATTATACCGTTTATCCAAATGGAATGCTTTGATGGAAAATATCCAAATGTTCTATATCAAGGAAAGGACAATTTTACAAATCTGCATTGTGCAAGACAAATATTGCCACCACCAATTTACAAAAGGATATGTGAAAAGGACACATAAAAGCATTTTATTTAATTTTTCTCTTTTGAAATGAATAAACTTTTTTAGCAAAGATCTTTATTTTGACTTAAACGTTGTATATATTGTTCATAAACAACACTCCAACACCCATATTCTGACCGGTGGTAATTATAGCTGGAAGGGCCTTCATCTTTGCAATTTACGTAATTCTTGTTCCACCATGCAACGAATTGTTCAAGAGTAGTGGGCCATTCTACCTTGAGATTCAATAAGTACTTAGGGTCTTGAAAATAGTGTAATTTTTTGCACGAGAAACTTGATGTTAGAAGTGTTACACGTCGCAATCCAAAAAAAAGGAAACAAAGTGATCGCAAAGGCGGTTGCAACCAGGTATTGCAATCATCATCAAAAGTTGCAACCGGTATATTAGAATGAAACATGTGCAATTAATTACAAAAAATCCCATTAAATCAGAATTGGTAATACACTTATGGATGCTGTTTTTTAATTTACTAGATCTCTAGTCTCTTCTCATCACTCTCAAGAGAAAAGTTGTCCAAATCATCCTTTATAGAATATCGATTATATTAACTTCTATATAATAATCATCCATAATAAAATGTCCTAAAATTTATTTTGCAGTATATCCCATATAAGAATTTGTAAAAAGAATCCTTATTAGTATAAAAAAAGATATTGTTACTAGACAATAAACCAACAAAAGTAAGCATAAAAATTATCTAGGGTCCTAAAAATTTTATCATTATTATTTACAATATAAAGTAAATAAATGAACGAACATATTTCACATATATATAGTATATTATCAATTTGTAGATATTTATGTATGTAAAGAATTTTTGATTTGTTAGAAGAATAACAAAAAAATAAAAAAACTCTTACAAAAAATTTTTAATCTGCCACAGCAAACCAGATACTAAAACATTGTTATATTGTTGTCATTAGTAACATTTATCCTGTGGCTTTATGTGTGTGTAAAGAAGAAAATATAAAAGTAGATCTTTCTGCCTTTTTTTTCTTTTTTTTGATAGTAATATAGTATTACCTATCGAAATTCAAACAAACCCCCTTCATAATCATCATTATCATCAGAGGAGAAAAGAAAAAAATAAAGGTATATTAATCTTTTTTTAATAAAAGATAGATTTCATTATTACAATATTAAATAAATAAATCCCAATCTTGCGCTAAATATTTTGAGTCATCATATTCTTCTTCTATCTTTGGTTCTTGTTTTTCCTGTTTAAATTTTTTCGAATTTCCATCAGAAAATTCCTGTGAATTATTATTATTGTTAGCTAATATTGCTGAATAGGGTCTTTTATTGACCATTGAAGCCTTGTTTTTATTTTGTCCTCTCATCCAATCCCATAATTCTATTTCATCTACAATATCGTAAACTACATCTTCTGCAACATATTCCATGTATCTTTCTGACATCGGTTTCCATTTGCATATTTCAATTTTTTTCTTTGATGATATTAATTTTTCTTTACCTTTACTACTACTGCAACTGTTGCTACTACTACTATTGTTACTACTACTACTATTACTATACAATTCAAGTCCGGGATTGGGAGGTGGTGGATATTTGAAATGAGGTCCAAAATTTAAAGTACATGTCCCACCTCTAAACATTGAAACTGCTGGGTAATACCCCAACGATCCGTCATCTTCAATCAAATCATCATCTGCCGTATATTTATCAATTATAGGAAAAAATGAAAATAAATTTTCAAATGCTATTCCTTGACATATTCCATTTTTATAGACTATTATCTTTGATCCTGGTAATGTTGGCAATTCTGGCTCTGGTGATAATTGTCTTTTCTTTTTTTCTTTTTCTTCTTCTGCAGCTTCTAGTTGTTGTCTTTGCCACCAAAATTCTTTTTTTTTTGGCTTTTCTGGTAATTCTAACAGTTTATTCATTCGACGAGTTGGCTTGAAATCTTTATATTCAAATATCGTTTCCCCCTTAAATAAAATAGGAATTCTTTGTCTTTTGGGTGCTTTATATTTATAACCTTTACTAACTTTTTTCAAAGGTGGTAATGATATATAAATACCAATAACATCACCTGTTTTAAAAGGTTCCCCAAATTTTTTTACATGTGACATATGAACCTTCTGTCCTGTAAGATCTCTTATTCCATAACTATATCCATCAGATCCAACTGGAGAATTCCTATTGCCTACAAATAAATTTATATATTTTTTAATAACCTTAATAATCGTTATATGTTACCAAATAATTATTAATTATAACCATGATTTACAGTAGTTGTAATCTTTTAATTATTTCCTACCTTCTCTACGTGCCCACCCAACTCTCACGTGTGCACCATCTTTGCCATCAACTTTTCCTTCACCTCCACGATCTATAAAAACTTCGTAAAACCACTTTCCTTCTTTTACGGGACAGTTGGCTCTTGCCATTGAAAATCCATGATCAGTTGTGGTAGTTAATTGATCACCACTAATCCATACTGAAAGACTTGCATCTTCTTTAGAAAGTCGCACTCCATATGGTCTCAATTCAGAGTTTCGATATTGTGTATAAGAAAATAATTTATCTGATTTACAAGGTAAATATTTAAACCCATTTCGAAGATTATTTTGTTCTCCCGATTGCCCAAATTCTGTTGAAGATGAACGTGCTTCAATCAATGCAATTACAGTATTTGAAGGATTTGATTGATTAGAAGTTTCATTGCCAGCGGTAGATGGTTCATGAAAACGATTTGATGATGATGATGATGGTTTTTTTGATGATGACGATGATGATGATGGTGTTGGTGGTGGTGGTGGTGAAGCATCATTATGTGCATTGGAATCATGCGTAATACGTAAATTACGATTATTAATAGTTTCTTTTACAGCACGAGATGGAATCCTTGAATGTGTTGACTAATAAACATTAAAAAAAGATATTATTTTGAGTTGCAGATCTTATAGACATATGATATTGATTCATTTTATAAAAAAAAAAAAAAGAAATTAAACACTAACTCCAAAACAACCTGGTTTTATATTCCATAAATTTGGATCCATAAGACAAAAATTTGAACTTGCGGATCTATTATTTTCATCTTTGGCAACAAAAATATCTTTTGTGGAATATAAACATGAACCTAAAGTAGCCCACCTAACATTTTTTTTATTAATTCAATAATATATATATTGTCAATAAAAAATATTTTCTTAAAAAAAATTTTTTTTATCAATTAATCAATATTACCATGTAGCAGTTCTTGAACGTTCAGTACATAAAGATGACCAATTCTTATCAACAAAAGGTCTTAAATGATCATTTTTATTAAAGTAATAATTAAATTGTGATAACTTTTTAGAAAATGATGAATTATAACGACAATCTCCTCTTGCTGCTCGGTGTTCTGACATATGTTGTTGTAACATAAGGTTAGCTATTGCACATCCGCCAATCTCTTTCCAGCCAGCTTGTGTTCGCTACTTGTAAGTTTAAAAATTTCGTCAAAAGAAAGTTATATATATATATATATATAAAATAAAGGTTAGCTATAAGTACCTTGAAATTCTCGGTATCTGTTCCATTACACCATTTACAAACAAATTTATAATTAGTAAATATTGGAAGAGTCGTATCAACAGAAATTTTAATACATTTTTCATGAAACCAATTAAAACAACCTAAATATTATTAATTCCACGAATAAAAAAAAAAATAGTAAACAATGGAACCATTTAAAAGGATCCAGAGAGTATACGTTTAGATTTACAAACCCGAACATTGTAACGACACTTCACTCAAATTCCTATCACCTTTACAATAACAATATTGTTGTTCTTCATTAATAGTATGCTGATCATTCCACGTAAGTTGATTTGAGTCATAATATGCCATGTTTTAAAATTTAAATTTTGTGCATTAAAAAAAATCACGCGGTCGATCGATTTCGATTATCAATAATAATAACTTTTTTATTCTTATTATTATCATTTATAATGAATAAAGTCTATTTTTATTTTATAATTATTATCTTGGTCTTTTTATTTGTGACCTTACTTCAAAAGTTTTTTTATGAAAAAATTTTTAACAGCAAAATGTTCACAGCCAATGAAAATTTCAAACAAAATCCTTCTTCCAAAGAATTTGTCAAGGTCATTGGTACAAGTTTTGTTTTGAATGATAAAAATTTGTATGTTGTTGGAGCTAATTATTGGCAAGCAATGAATCTTGGAATGTCAAATAAAACAAGAGTTTTAAAAGATTTGGAGATATTGAAAAAACATGGAATAAATTGTGTTAGAATTATGGCCGGAAGTGAGGGACCAGACGGTGAACCATATAGAATGCGTCCAGCATTGATGAATTCACCGGGGGTATATAATGAAGAAGTTTTTCAAGGTAGTCCAGCTGTTCCAAAAGATTTTTTTTTATTGTTTAATAAATTATTTAATGAGTTAATATAGGACTTGATTGGTTCTTGGATCAATTGAGAAAATATGATATTACAGCAATAATGGTAATAAACCTTTTTTTTTGGTTAAAGATCTTAATTAGGTTTATTCATACTAAAAAAATATGTATATATATCCAAATAAATAGACATTATCAAATTATTGGCATTGGTCTGGTGGCTTTGCACAATATGTTAATTGGATAGATAAAACTACACCAATACCATATCCAAAATGGGGATCAGAATTTTTAGATTTTGAAGAATATGCAGCAAGATTTTATTCTGATGAAAAGATTCAAAAGGAATGTCAACAATTATATCTAAACCATGTTGAAACTGTTATTAATCGTCGTAACATGATTAATGGTGAACTTTATCGAGATGACCCTGTTATTTTTGCATGGGAGCTTGCTAATGAACCACAACCTCCGATTTACCAAGGAACTAATGATAAACATCATCATGAGATATTTTTTAATTGGATTGACTCTACTGCAAATTTTATTAAATCCTTGGATCCTAATCATTTAGTATCTACAGGAGTTGAGGGTAAACATGGGAAAGATTGGTTTATCACAAGTCATCGTAGCAAACACATAGGTAAATTATTCTTAAAAAAAAAAATAATAATCAAGTTGAATTTATGTGGGAAAGAAGTTAATCTAATTATGTTTAAGATTTTACCAGTGCTCATGTTTGGGTTGAAAATTGGGGTTATTATAATTCGAGTGATCCAAGTGAAGAAAATTATCAAAAAGCTGAAAATTTTATGATTGAATTTCTTGAGAATACTAGTGATTGGTCTACTAACATATCAAATAAACCGATTTTATTAGGAGAATTTGGTTAGTAATTCACAAATCATAATCTAGCGAGTTTTATATATCAAAAAACAATTATATTCAATGAGCTAAATAAGATTCTGAAAAAAAGGCATGGCAAGAGATGGATGGAAAGATATTCCAAAATATGATCCACGTGCCACAACAAAAAATAAGGATAGATATTTCAAAGCAATTGCTGATAAGGTTTTGCAATTAGAAAAACAAAAAAGATTTTCAGGTCTTGCATTTTGGGCATTTGCTGGATTAGGTAATATTCTAATTGCTTCTCTGTTCAAAAACCATGAAAAGTTTATTTATTCTTTTATTCTACACTATTAGCCAGACCAACTGATTCAATACCACAATGGTTAGGTGATCCACCGCATGAACGTGAGTTTAACAAAGTTTTTGATTCATCTATCTATATATATATATATATTATATATGTATGCGAAATTTAAAAAAAAAATTTTTTATTATATAAAAAAAATTAGCCCCAGGATGGTATTCTGTCTACGATACTGACCAAAGTACATTAAATATTTTTGCCGAACATGCTCGTAATGTTGATTTGATTGAATGATGTAAATATTTCCGTGCAAACATTATTATTGAAATAAACAATCCAAATAATCTAAATGATTTGTGAAAAATTAATGCATAGAAAATTGGGGCACTTTTTAGCCTTTAATTTTTCCATATTTATTTATAATAATAAATTTAAATCAAAATAAGCATCAAAGATAATATTCCTATTGTGATTCAGATAAAAGAATTGATAATCCTCAATCATGTGATACACAATTATTAACTACTAAACAATTTGTCATCCACCGCATTCTCAAGTCTTTTATGACATAATTAAAAGCCTTATTATACTCTATCCAAATCTGTCAATCGAATTCTTACATAGCGAAAAGTTGAATTCTTCTTCGACTTTACATTTTACGAACGTCATTTTGATTATATATTATGCTGATATATTTTTATCCGATCAAATATTTGTCAGAATAGAAATTCAATGTTTGGATTAAACATGCCTGACGATTTTTACTAAAAATTTATATAGTATTTTGGTTAGGTTAGAAGATGAACATGCAGTTTTTCGATGGTTGTATCAGTAATAAGTTCGGAGAAACCAAATTCATGGTGTTGAGTGTTTGGACATGAACATGTAATACTATAAATAGTTATACTAATGATGGAATCACACCCACAAAAATGAAAGTGTTCTAGAATATTGCACGACTGTGCAATTTCTTTGACGGCAGTATCAGTAATGTTATCGCAATAACTGAGATTGAGGCATTGAATATTAGGTCATAACACACACTGTTGAAGTTTTCTCAATGGCTAAACTAGCCCATAAATTGAGCAGGAAACTCAAATGTGGAATCAAAATTAAATCAGCCACTAGACAAGCACTCAAAGTAATTACTGAATTGGCCGCTGGAAGACAATCTATTAAACAATAATCAAGGCCATTAACTATTTGTTGAATGAATAAATGCACTTTCTCGCTTGGTAGTTTCATTAGTGGCCAAGATTTAATCTTTTTGGCTTTGGGCAATGCGCAATATCACGGACTGCTGCATCAGCAAGCTCCTCACAATATGGGATATCTAAAGATCGAAGGTTTGGATGTAATTGTACGTTAATATACACTAGCTGGACAAAAGTATTTGATCACGTATTTACACTAGTTAGTAAAAACCCTACATAACAACATCACACGAAATTATAACATTATGTGCCTAGATTTTGATAATTATATATTCGAAATTTCACGTTGCTAGCTCTCATATTCATGCATGT